GCTTATTATTGTTTGCCAGTCAAGCATCACCAGGACTCGCGGTGCGGAACCCAAAACATCCAAACCCGAACGCGACCGCGGCGGAAATCAAAACAATGGAGGCCATCACGAAGGCCAGCAAAGTGACCGATGAAACGGACGGCGGAATACCATAAATCCCTATCGTGGAGGCCCAAATTCAAGAATAACAAGAGAACCAAAGTGCAAAATTGACTATTTCTAGCAAAAGTGCAGAGAAATTTACAAATGTTTGAGACTAGCCAGGGATCAAGCGGTTCCTAAAATAACTTATTTAATTTTTGCGTATTTAAAGTAAACCATTTTCGTGCAAGTTGTAAATTAATGAACTTTAATAAAACAAGCTTAAGGCAAACTTTGAATGAAGTGAATACCCGCGGGACATTATACCTTTATTTGAATCGCGTATACGCCGTGTGGGCCGGTCGGAGATACAAGCACGTCGCATAACGAAGCAATTAAAGGGAGAAAGAATGCAAATATCCGGCTGACCAAAAGGGAGCAAACGTAGTGAATTAATGTGGCGTCAAATTGAATGACAAGCCGCTGCCAGAAAAGGTGGAAAAAATACGAGAGGCGCAACGGAATTAAAGATGGTAATGGCGATGGGCTGATGATGATGATGATGGTGAGCGAGGAGCCAAGGAAATGGGACGACAATTTCATTTCAAAAATGCAAGATGCCGTGATGAAGCTGATAAAAACGAAGTGGATTCCTCCCGGAATTATAAACAGCTGTAAGAAGGAGCCGGGAACCCGGGACAGCGATGCCATGCAGTCCGTCCGCCAGGATCCGTAACAAGGGTCTGGACACAGACACACTGACACCCAGACACACAGACAGACCGACTCACAGAATCGGAGACTCGGAGACAGACGCAGAGGCGGACAGGTCTCCACCTGCCCCGTCCTGCCGAAGGACGACTCTCTGTCACGTTTCAGTTAGTCAAATGAAACGAAGAGGTGGACAGTGCTGCGGGCCAGGACAGAAAAATGGCGAACGGAATTACATAAAGCGAGTTCCATAATGAAGACGACGTCCTCCGCTCGGCTGGCAATCCATTTAAGTCCCGTCAAAGGGTTCTCGAAGTCCGCCCGGAGACAGCATCCAGGATCCAGGATCCAGGATCCAAGGAGCAGAGGCGGTGAGACTGCATTTTAATTGAAGTCTGCAGACAGGCAATCCGGCAAAATATTTGCTACACACACTTGCTTGAGTAAACATTCTCAAATAATTGGCAGCAGACATTGTTGTGATTCGCCATTCGCCTTCTGTTTGCGACTCGATTACATTTAAAAGTTCTTTGAGGCGTTCGATTTGGAGCAGAGTCATGAATTTTTCATGAATTTCCCATAAATGATTTTATTGCTCGATACCGGCAGGCAAAAGAACGCAGCGGAGCGATCCATAAAACAAAATAAATGCTTCGTTAGAAGCCCTTGTGTGCCCTCGGATAATTTAATATTTTCTTTGACACTCGAAATCCAAACAATTCCTTGGGCCATAAATGAGTGCTTTGTCATGATTTCTTTCATTACAGACCGACACCAAATGACAAACCACACACAAGAAATGCCAAAGTCAACGAACGACTGCACACACAATCCGGGCAGGTTTAATGAGAGTAGAGTTTCTGCCACCCCCCCGCATATACGGAGTACATATATCCGTGCCCCCGGAGAAGTCCCTTCCCGCCCAACTATCCAGATCCCAGAACCCAGTACCCAGAACCCAGTACCCGTACCCTTCCCGCCGTACCAGTGTGTGTGCAAATTATTATCCCAGCCACATACACACACAGATATTCGTTTGAGTGTTGATTTACATTTTTGATTTATTTTATTTATTTAAGCCCATGCCTTGTGTCTCTGTGGGTGTGTCGTCGTCTAGGCCACAGAAACGCCAAAGCAACAAAGCTGGCAAAAATATTGCTGCCCATAATTTTCATGCTCTCATTCGGGTTTTTTCCTTCTTTTCCTCTCGGTTTTGTGGATTTATCGCAGATTTTGTTCTTTATGTAAGTGTTTTGTTTCCCTCTTTGTTCTGGCCCTATGTTTTGGTATTTCACAAGCGGAGCTACTTGAGCGGAATTATCATTGGCAGATCTGCAAATGCCTCAATGGCTTACGGAGATTTACAAATGGCCTGCTGACCTCGGGTTCAAATTACCAGACAACCAGGAGTTGCAGAGAGCAGGCTTATGTTAATAACAAGCTAAGTAGGCAGCCTTTTTGCCGCCCTTTTAGACTTTTCAAAATTGCCAAGCAAATTGGTGGGAATCATCAGTTCATTTAATGTATGATCAAGTAATGGCAAATGTATTAATCAGAGACCATGTCTTACTCTTGTTTTGAATCAATGTGTTTTGGATATTAATAATCCTTCTTTAAATTCAAACAATTTATCCATTTAGCCGCATTTATCCAAGACGAGCTGGCAAACTAATAGGTCAATCACCAGGTAATTTAATCTGCCATGCTGCAGTACTCTAGTGCTTAATGGGCCATGAGCCGTAAATTATATTCTTCCAACGGGCTGCAAATTTATTACCAGTAAAATTTATGTTAACGGCCAGTCGGTAATTATTTTATTTGCCTGCGGAATTGGATGTTTTGGCCAAGAGCTTTGCTGTTTCAAGGGCAGAACCCCCGCAGATGCGAATGAAAATTAACGGTGCGGCCAAGACAAACAAATAAACACTGGAGCACCTCGACCCAAATTAAACAGCCTGCCCGAGTGTCACGCCTAACGAGCCTCCACTGTAGCTGGTCGAGTGGCTCGTGTGTTGTGTGCCTTTCATAATTATGTGAGCGCATTACTCATGAGCAGCCAAATGCAAACAGGACAGTGCCAGATGCAGGGCGCTGGTCCGGTACCGAGGAGTACCCACTGTAACTAGGCAAACATTAGCCGTATATTATGGCTAATTTAATTGACTTGCCCAGTTCGCCTTTGCCCCTGGCCATGTGTTCTGTTGTGCTGCGTTGTATTGTGTTTGCTGTTTGCAGTTGCAGGGGAAAAGGGAAAAAGGGGAAAAGGGGAGTTCGATTCGTCATGTTTGCCTGTGCGTGCGGTCCCTTTGATGTTTTGCAGACTCGTCGAGGAATGTCCTTATTGACAACACAAGTGCTCGAAATTCCAGTCGGCGAAATGTCGAGCACAATCTTTGTTATTAAAGAGGTGAATTCGAGAAACTTTATGAACTGTACAACGAGCAATGAAATCGAGCCACAGGAGTAATTTCAATTTCAATCGGTCTTAAACAAACTTATAACAAAAGTTGTTAAGCTTCTCAGTGTCTTTTCATAATAGGATTGTTAAATACTAAATTGAAATTCCCTTAATTGTCCTCTCAGAGCCATTAAATTGGATCACCAAAAAACAACATTTCTTGAATGGTGACAAGGTCCTGAAGTACTCTTGCCCAATAAAATATTGAATAATATTTCTGGAATGCCTTCATCTTCACAATGGATGTGCAGTCAATCCCTTCAAGCAGAATGAAGTTGTCAAGCGTTTTGGCATATGCCATTCCCCAGCATCAGAGACCATTCTCCTGCGACATGTTCAATTTCTGGTGCCGATGTTCCGGGGAAGATGTATGTGGGCATGGAATAGCTCCTTGTGGGCCCAGCATGCTCTATATTCACTTAATTATAGATGCGACACGCACAATTTCTGGCCCTTCTCGGAGGGCATTGTAATGTGTTCCTTACCCGGAACTGTGGGGATATTTATGCGACTGGGTATGACCCTCTGGGATTCCTGGGCTTTTTATGTCCCCTTCATAATGGGCACGAACCTACAATAAAGTGGCAATTACCAGGAGTAGTAGCACATGGAAACAGCCAACAAAGGCATATTTCGCTTTTGAAAACAATTGCTAATTGGTCTCTCAAGATACACTTCAGCTGAGGAGTCATGTAAATCATGAATTTAAAATCCATCAAAAAGTTACTTCCTTTATTTCATTAACTCCACCTCATTCAACTTGCATAAATTTGTTTAGCTTAGCTCTAGATAAGCACGTGCCCTTTAAGGGGTTATATACCTTTTTCAGAATCAAAAAATCGAAAAAAATTTTATGATTTTTTTTTGATGTACATACTTTCAACAATTTTTCTGCAAAATTTTGTAGAGATCGGGGCACTAGAACCTAAGATACAGCCGTTCATAGCGCACGGTGTGCATGACTACCTAATGTCCGCCAAAACTTTAACCGCGATTATCTCGGAATCGCATTTTTGAGAAAAGGTCATTGCGGTGAGCACGATATCTCGGTAACCACTACATCGATCGATTTGAAATTTTGGGGGATTGTTTGTAGATACAATAGCTAGTTCGTGAACGAAGGAATTTTTTTTTCGACAATTTTTTCTATTTTTTTGGGGCGAAAAACTAAATTATTAGACCTCGAAAAATCGGTTTTTTTGAAAAAATAATCACTGTAACTGTAAAAAAATTTTTTCGTAAAATCCTTCGTTCACGAACTAGGTAACACTATATACTAACGTAGTTTTTTTCATTTTTTTTTAAGTTGAGCCGTTTTCTTGTTTTCATGCTCACCGCAAGCCTCTAATGAAAAAAGGACTTCTGCGGGAAGGACTATAACTTCCACAATACTCAAAAATTTCACTCGAAATTTTATACGAATTAAGTTAAGGACACGTACTTTGATAAAATTGTTATTGAATTTAAATAAAACAATGGTAACATGCTAAAAAAAAATAAATAAAAACCATGTATTTCTCTGGTGAAAAAGGTATATAACCCCTTAAATGAAACATCACTCATACGCAGTGTTGTTCAACGGAAAGGATGTAACAAAACCTGGCTTGTACTGCACTCCCAAACACAGTCAAAAAAGAAGGAAAACAATTATTTTCCTTGGAGGTGCCCCAAGCCAGGTTCATCGATTCGCTTGGGAAAAAACGCAGGCTCCTGAATAAGGCAAAAAACGAACAGCATCTGCTGCACTTACCATTCACATCACACGTTCAATCTGTTCACTTTGCTGGCGGTTCACGTAGTTAACCAAACAAGGATCGAAAGGCTGCAAAAAGTGCACGGCAGTTTTTTCTCGGCAAACCCAGCTCTGCAGTTCAGCCGGAAAAGAATGTGAAACCGCGGCAGCTTTGCTTAACTAAATTTTGTTGTCAAAACTTCAATTGCGGGGGGCCCACTGCACGGAAAGTTCGGCCCAAAACATTTTGACAGGCCGGAAAGAGCGACGGGCGAGTGGTGAATGGGGAAGGGTGAAGGGTTGGGCCAAAAAACTTTTGCGGAAAGTGGCTAACGTGTGAGGAGGCGACCGAATGGGCCGAGTTTCAGTTACGAGCGCACTTAACTATCACGGCCAACTTTTCAGCACTTAACAACACTTGAGCGAAACTTTTCGCCAACCGCATGGACTTGTATGGCAATATGTTAGGCCCTATCTGTGGCTAATTCGTGGTCTCCGGCCGATCAGACCGATTGAGTTCTCCTGGCTGTCCAGCGCCCAAGTTCGAGCCACGAGACCGATTTTCCGACCAACTCGAGAGCCTTGCAGCCGCTTGCAACCGCCTCGTCGAAGGAATCACCGCAAACTGTCTGAGCGTGGCCAAGTCCCCAGACAGCAGACTGTTGGCCCGGTCCTGCCAGTCCTGCCGAGTCCTCGATGCCGAGCAGCATCGCCTTCATGAATGGGGCGATGTTTGCGGAACGCCCGGCATCGGAACCCCGCCCGCGCATGCCCACACGGCGTATGCAAGATTTATGACAGTCGCGCTCGGAGAAGCACCCGAAAACATCGAAAACACGTGGCGACCTCCAACAAGTGTGATAAGCGCGATAACGCGCCAACGCAAACGCACCGCTTTTTTCGCCACTCCCGCTGGGCGGTCGGTTGGCCGAGGTCAGGGACGATGACCGCAACCGCTGGCACAAAAAGCTAAAGGCAGCCCTGAATAAAATAAGAAAAATAGTTGGATATGCATTGCTATCATAGAGTCAGCATTACAGTACATATATCCTCAACCACCTTTAAACTGGATGTAGTTTTATTGCAATGCCAAATATTTATTTTATTCAAAGTATTTTGTATTGAATTTAAAATATGAAGTTAATAATAAGTTAAGTGTTAACTGAGTGCTGGGAGGCAGTGTTTGAGCTTTTACTATAAACTTGATTATTGCCTTATTAAAATCAAATCCAATTACTTTCAATGTTGACTTATCAGTGTCAGGCTTATCTAGCAGGCGTATTATTCATTCAGAAATAGCTGTGTTGTGGTTAGGCAGGCCCTGGCTAAATACGAAGTACGATTATGCAACATTTTGCACTTGAAATATCTTTCGATAACCTTTCTGGCAAAATGTCTCATCCAGTTCCCCTATCTAAACTAAACCCTTTTAAGCTGAATCTAACATTCATTCAGAAACTAGGAGTGACGCAAAGAGATAAGCACTGGAATAATAGTATTTCCTTATCAGGCATCGACGCCCATTCAATTAGGTAACAATTTGCACTCGAAGTGATGGTAATTAATTAAAATGGCGCTACACTGTGGGTGTAGTGGCTTCTTGACGTATTGCACAGTATAATACGCCAGGCATCTCATCAAACCTACAAACTTGCGGTGTTATCACCTGAGTGTATGCAGGCCGTGGGCGTTAAAGGGGGCGTGGCTGTCTGAGGGCATCTCATTATAATGCGCATTATTAACTGACGGCTCCTGTCACGCCTGAGTGGGCAGAGCGACCACTTTGAGGGACTCCGCCGGAACGGACACCCAAACCGCCAATCAATTCGAAATCGCAATCGCAATCGCTGACACGGAACATGTGCTCGTCCCGCCCGAAAATCTGGGCAACTTAAAGCTTTAAGGCGGAGTCCTTAAGAGTCCTTTATTTGCATTCCCATCGGGAGTCGGGAGCATCTTGTCCGGGTGCTCTTCCTTTTCCTCCTGCACTTTCGGTTCGCCCTGCTCGTTTTTGCCAAACAAATTCCGAAACACTTCAAACTATTTTGCTTGCCTTTTGGCCGTTCTGTCTGTAATTTCATGTTAATATATGCATGCAGGCGAACTCCCGGCAACTTTGGGGGTGCCACACACAATGCAAATAGCGCAACAGGGCGTGGCCCCGCCCGAAAATATTACAGCCATCATAAAATGTCGGCGTTGAGTTCATTTAAAAGGAACTATTTCGTTGAGTCCTTTCCAGAGAGCAGAATTAAAGTGGAGCCCGTGAAATAAGTTAGCTTCAAGCAGTCGGAATAGTTTCACAGACATGAAAAATCGCACTCAGCTGCATTTAAGACATAGTTGTTGGTCGGGGCTTTAGTAAATCCTTTGCGAGCCAATAAAGATAAACCCCTTAAAAAGTTGCAGTTGTGCTCGGCAATCTAAAGTATGAATTAAATGATTACCGATTATTGTTTACGTCGTTGCTATAATTAAAGTTCGTTATCTAAAACCTGCTGGAATTCTCCCTCCAATTTGTTGTATTCCAATTATGAGTGCAGACCTACTCATGACTAATTCACGCTATTTGCGATTTTCGAAGGGGTCCCCGGCACGCGTCGTTGCCATGGCACAATGGAAACGGAAGTCCCTCCCCTTGTGAGCGGAAATTAAAAAGAGTTGGCTAGAACTGGATCAGCCGGGCCCACAACAAAAATCAGCTGATGATAGCGTAAATCTCCGACTTATTTCGGCCAATCTTTGGACTTAGCGCGTGTGCCGATTGGTGCCCAGTTGATATGATAAGCGACCCGCCGATGCGATATAAAAGACAATGTAGGCCCTCTCAGGCCACTCAGAAGCGAATTCAAATCGGACTAGCAAAATGCCGACCAAGGCGGTTTTCCCCACCTTCTTCAACAAGGACACGAAGATCTGGAGCGGCCCGCCGCGGCCCACGATGTATGACCCCAACACCTCCATCGGCCAGATCGTCTTCAACTCGCTACGGGTGTGGCCCACCAACGTGATTCAGGTAAACGCCCGACCCGCATCCCCCAGGAGCCCAGAGTCTGATGAGCTCGATTATATAAAAGTAGATCACCGACGACGACGGCACCGTTCTGACCAACGCCGACATGCTGGCCTACGCCACCCGGATCGCGCTCTTCCTCAAGAGCGAGGGCCTCACCCAGGACGACCGGGTGGGCATCATCGCCAACTCGAGCACCTTCGTGATCCCCGTGGCCACCGCCTGCTTCTTCCAGGCCACGCCCTTCCACGCGGTCAACTACTCCCGGGAGCCGGCCATCGTGAAGGGCCTCTACTCGGTCACCAAGCCCAAGATCATGTTCATCGACGGCGCCGACTACGAGCGCATCAAGGAGATCACCCAGGAGTGGGCCCCCAGGATCGTCACGCTCACCGGGAAGGTGGAGGGCGTGACCAGCGTCGAGGACCTGGTGAAGCCCCACCCCGCCGAGCAGATCTACGTGTAAGTAGTTGGGGAATTCATAAATGATTACTTTAAATAATTATAGTTCTTGCAAACAGTAATAATACCTTTGTTAGTAAAATCTAATTGGTTTCTTTGTTATTGATCCTGTCACGAACTATTTATTGATACAGAAGCCTTCTTCACTTTAATTTCTTGTTGGGCATAACTATTTTGTATTACAGACAAATTTAGATGCTATAATTTCCCCCCTCCCCTTTTAGACCCGCTTCCTTGGCCAACAGCGGTGACCAAATCGCCGTGGTTCTGTGCTCCTCCGGCACAGCTGGTTTGCCCAAGGCAGTGGCCCTCTCCCACCGCCACATCGCCTCCACCAACTCGTGAGTTACCGATATAAACCATAAAAGTGTTACAATGTTGACCCGAATGTTCCCCCAGGCTTTGCATCAGCACCGACGTGCTGTACACCAGTGCCACCATCGACTGGATGACCGGATTCTCGATTACCGTAATGAATCTCACCTGTGGCTTCACCCGCATCATCTCCCGAAAGGCGTTCAGTGCCGAGACGGCGCTCCACTTGGTCGAGAAGTACAAGGTCACCTGCCTAGCCATGGCCCCCTGGCAGGCGTACGAGCTCTACACCAGTCCGCTGGCCACCCCCGAAAAGCTGTCCTCCCTGAAGATATCCTTCGTGATCGGCGGCTGGATCTCGCTGGCGCTGCTGCGGAGGGCCCAGGAGCTGATGCCCCGCACCTACGTGATGTTCTCGTACGGAACAACGGAGACGGGCGTGGTGACCATCAACATCGACCACAGCCTTGAGTGCTCGGTGGGCAGGCTGGCGCCCGGCATGCGGATCAAGGTGCTGGGCGAGGATGGCCAGCAGCTGGGCTACAACCAGACCGGCGAGGTGCTCATCGACATCGGGCTGCGCTGGGAGGGCTACGTGGCCAACCCGGAGGACACGGCGGCCACGCTCCAGGACGGCTGGATCAACCTGGGCGACCTGGGCTACTTCGACGAGGACAACAACCTGTACCTGGTGGACCGCAAGAAGGACCTGCTGAAGTACAAGTCCAAGCACTACTGGCCCAACGAGATCGAGCAGATCATCGCCGAGCTGCCGGAGGTGGAGCACGTCTGCGTGGTGGGCGTCCGGGATGCGAGGTACGGCGACGCCGCCGGAGCCCTCATCATCAAGAAGGAGGGCGCCGAGATCGAGGCCCAGAAGGTCATCGACCACGTGGCCCAGCGCGTCGTGGTCGACTACAAGCAGCTGAACGCCGGGGTCATCTTCGTGGACAAGTTCCCAAAGAACGCGAACGGAAAGGTCATGCGGAGCCTGGCACGCGAGGTCTTCGAGGAGACCACCAAGTAGATTACCTCTTAATGCTATCTTAAACATAATTTAAAAATGAGTTACCTGCCCTGATTGTAAAGACCTTAAGCCTCTGTGGTTCGTTGTTAAATCGCAATAATTACAAGTTACATCTCCTGTTAGATAGCGCCACATTTTTTTCATATTGGTTTGCAATCATTTAATTAATAGCTCTACTTTTTGCACTGGCCATTGACTTGCACAATTTTATTTCCGCCTGATTTAATCAGTTCAATTAAATTAAAGTGTGAAGTGCTCAGAAAATAGGGCTAGATAAGATAAGACTTAAATTGAGATAAGGAATGCTAATAATATTTTCTATTGCTTATCATTGTACAAATTGACTCCCACAAATAAACAGAGTTATGATTGATTTTAAGTAGTCCTTCACTTTAAAATTTATTCGCTTGGCAGTTTGATTGCCTTATTAATACTAATGAACCCATTGAAAACTGATTTGATTTAGTTACACTATTTTGAATGGCATTTTAACCACGTTCGGATGCGGCACCCTACGTGGTTTTCCGGCTTGCAAAGTCCGAATAATGATGGATTTCCGAGCGAAAGGGCAATCCCCTGCCCGATCCTCTTTGGTTCATGAACACCTTTTGTTCCAGCAAATGCACCAATTTACGGTTATGGAAATGAAAATGTCTGGCAGTCCGATTGCAATAATTTACCTTCCGGCCGATGGTGGCATTTGTGTTTCCGGTTGCGTTCAACGCTATCGCAACCGCTGTTTCCGCCGCACGCGGCACAATCTGCTCGATTTCGCTGAGTTTTCAGGGGTTATGCAAAGTCCCGGATGACCAGCCACCCAAACCGAAGTTTCGGGGCAAGCAAATTCAATGTTGCAAGTCCTGTCTGGTTTGTTTGTTAGTTGGGGGCGCTTCTGGCTTCAAAAGTCCCTTCCTTCCAATGTTTCGCCATGCACTCATTGCACTACATTCTGGGCTCGCCGTCGTCGCCATCGTAAATTATTCAAATTTTAAGTCGTAAATACACGCACATAAACATAAACACAATCGCTGTTTGCTGGCCTGCTTTTGCCACAGGACACGCCCACAGGACATCTCTTCAGCTGCGGGGATCCCGGCACTCGCATCCTTCTCCCGATGCCCCAAGCCCCCCGAGATTCGGTGGCAAATTGCTGAAATCGCTGGCTCCGCATTTGGGTTTGCCGCTGGCGTGTGGAAATCTCTGGCATTATTCCGTGGTGCCAGCAATTGATACTAAAGCTAATGCAGACGCTTAGAAATCGCTTTGGACTGCTGCTCGGGGACTCAGAATGCTTTAGATTGCAACAAAAAGCTGGCAGACAACTTGAAACATGATTTCGCGAATCGCCTCTCAAAATGTTTATCATAAATCAAATAAACAAGAAACGAAGCTAGCTTCGGTATGAAAAGATTAAGCTTTGCATGCAGTTGCTAACAATAAAGCTGTTTTTAACTAAGTCGAAACTTTAACTTTAACTTAAACTTAAGCCAAACCTATGGATTTATTTAGTTGATACAACAGTAACAGTAAGTAAATCTGAGGCTGAAGGGCATCGCCAATGAGATTGACGTTCAGCCAACGCACGGGGTGAGCGAACTAACCCCTTTCGCTTGGATTGCCACAGCCATACCATATCGTTCCGTACCTTACCGTCCATTTGAGACAGAGGAGCAAAAGGATCTGGCATTGATGCCTGCTGAATGGACTCAAGACTTTTGACTCGGCAGCCGGTGGCAATTGTTTGATTGATGGATATGGAGCTCGAAGGCTTCGATTGCTCGCTCAACTGAGTGACGTGGCAGCCAAAGTCCTTATCTGCAGAGGACACCCGATTCGGGATGAAGGTCGGCGACCACCGCCCACCAGTCGGCTTTAATCAGCCACCACCACACCCACTCACTAATTATGCCTGCGCCACAGGCACGTGCACCACCGCAATGCAGCACCGCTCGCAAACGATGTTTACATGCAATTACCGTCTCACTGTTCCGCCGTCAACTCGAACGCCATTTGCCATTGTTTATTACACGGCTCTCAGCTCACAGCTCTCAGCTTTCAGTTCGATTCGGTCGGGGAGGGGGGTTCCCCTGCAGTTCCCCCAGGTGGCTTCCAGGCGGCGAGGCGGGTGATCCGTGGATGCAGGACTGCCATCGGCATTCCTAATTGCATTGCTGCCAGCAATGTATCATCGCAGAGCTATTTCAGTTTCGCTTCGCCCGCAGGACCTGGTAAAAATGTCCTCGCTAATGTCGCAAATGATTACAGTTGGCTTATGACTCCGCTCTTGGCCAGAACACGAAACAGAGCCAAATTGCCGAGGAAACGAAGGTGGTTGTGAGGAGCGGGCTAACTTAATTGCTGTATTTCTGGTTGTAAATTCCCCTCGTTATTCGAAGTGTTTTTGCCATTTTTCGAAAGAAGTTTCCTCTCAGATAAATTCTGTTAAATCTACTTTAAATCGACTTCAATATGCAGCAACTGGTTTTCAACCATTTAAAGCTTTAATTTGCTTTGGGTTTAATAAGCCGAGGAAATTTAAACTCCCCAGAATTTATTCGAAACCCTCCATATCTTAACCCCAATTTCGGCTAATTTGCAGTACGGATAACAGATTTGATAAGTCAATTAAAATGCAGAGACTTAAATTTGCTTGGAAGCCCAATGAACTTCTTAGACTCTGCAAGTGAGTTAACTTACAGCCCAGGCAATTTAAGTTGTTAGGCGCCAATGAATTATTCATTGCCACTCGTTGTCCTGGCCCACGCGTCGATGATTAAATCAAATCACTCCAGCCCGTTGCCAATTGGCCCGAAAGCTGCCTCAAGGACACCGCCCACCGGCCATCCTTATCGCGGGGAATGTGCAAACGATGCCCACGGGCCAAGTTACCAAAGGACTCAGCCGCCTGGCAACTGTCGGCGATTCGAAGGGTTAATTGTGGCGCAACCCGCTTAGCTCGCTTAAAACCTCCATTGTTACCGAAGTTCAAGGCGGGGAAAGTCAACTTCCTATTCGCAGTTCGTTGCCTTGAAAGGAAACAAACAAACTTCCGAGCGACTGGAGCCAAAGTAACAAAGGTCCGACCGAGAAGGTCAAAGGTCCGCAGTCGAAAAAAAAAAAGAAATAAATAGGAGCCAAAACAGACATTTATTGGGCCCGAACCAATTTCAGTTTTCTGATTAAGTCCCAGTTTCAGGAGTGTGCGGCATGTTGAAAATCTGCAGAACACCTAGACTTTGGAATTTTTCACATTCGCATCGGATGCATGGGGCTGGAATTGAATGGACATTTTCATTCGGCAGCATTCTGGCCGTTTCGTTTCGTTTCGTTTCGCTTTGATTTGGATTTCCATTTTGGTGCATTGGCCATTTGCTTTTAATAAAAATTCATCAAAAGACAACAAAAAAGCAGCTGGATGGGCGGACTCGTGTGCGCCAGAAGTCGTAAAAAGGGGTGAAACAATGGCGAGCGTGCAACCGGAAACGGAAGTCGACGCAGACAAACACCAGATACGAAGGGCGCCACCGGGAGGCGAAAGACTGAGGATACGGATAAGGATGGTTCGGGCCAAGGCCCAAATGGTGGACAGGGGAGGGCAGCGGAAGGAATGACAGCCGAAATAAGCTGCCCTTTTTCCTCACAGTTTTCTCAGATGATTTTTAAATAAGCAAGCGCACCGAGTGCCACATACCTCCGTATTTTTATGGCATTCCGATTGGGGGGAAGCGGAGGGGAGTGTGCAGACAACAGGGTCCTTCGGCCAAGGACTAATGGGCAGGGCCTTGACAGCACGTCCTGGATGCGGAGCAAACCGAAACGAAACGGCGAAATGGCAGCGGCCATAAACGGAAATGTGTAAAAAGCTCAAGCGGCACTAAAGGATTCCCCCATCCCCATCCCCTTCCCCCACCCGATGCCCCGAAAATGGCGAATAGGTGCATAATGGCCGCCTGACACTGTGGGCAGATGTCAACATGTGCTTTTATTATCAGAGAGTGCTCCGCCTCTGCCTCCCCCTCGCACCTCCTCCTCCTGCCGTGTCCTTGCCCGTTCCACGTGGCAGGACTCGAAATGCAACTTAATTAAGAGCCGAAAAAGCGGCAAGGCAGCGGAAACTGCAGCTGGCATCTGCGGCGGTTAATGCCGGACGGCCATAAATCTGCCGAAATGCACTGCCAGCACCAAAGATCTGCAAACTGGTAACTGGTAACTGGGAACTGGAAACTGGGAACGGAGGACCTACGGACCGGCGCCAGATGCACGAGGCTATATAAATATACGACTCGACTGGCAAGCGATAGCCAAGCGAATTGCGACTTTTATGACCCCAGCGAGCGAGTGAATTAAATGCGAGGTAATTACATATTATAAATGTGTTTAGTTCGCCGATAGTTTTCGCCAGAAAAGAAAGCCAGTTATCACAATGTATTTGAAGGCACATTATGTCACAGACAGGCGGGAATTACCAATGAATTACGTTTTGATGGCCTCCTGGAAGCTGCAAACTTAGAGCTTGTTATTTGGCATTCATTGGAGTCACTGTTACCGCTTAGGTAATTAAAAAATTAATTTCTATGTATAATTTATAATTCATAAACTCGATAATTAGTTTGATTTAAAATATATATTCTTCGTTGAACAATTTAATTTCAATTAAACAATTCAAAACTGTATTGGATTTTGAACATATATTCCTTAATAAAAAAATGAGTTGTTAGTAAGTTTTGTGAGTGCTTCACCCTAGCATAGGTCACCTATGCACCATTCTCTTCCAGGCGTTCGCAGACGGCCCTGACGAACTCGGAGCACTTGCTGCAGCCGCCCAAGTCCTGGGTGCGGATGTCGGTGTCCTTGTAGACCCCGCGAACGGCGCACTCCACCCGGTCGGCGAGGTCGTCCAGCTTGAGGTGGCGCAGCAGGAGGACGGCGCTGAGCAGGGGCCCGGTGGGGTTGGCCAGGTCCTTGCCCGCCAGGGCGGGGCACGCCTTCATGCGGCAGTCGAACAGGGTGCCCAGGGAGCTGACCGAGTAGCCGGGGCAGATCCCCGAGCCGCCCATCATGCCGCCGGCGAGGATCCGCATCACGTCGCCGTACATGCTGGAGGAGACCATGACATCGCACTGTTTCGAGCGCAGCAGCATGTTCAGGATGCAGGTGTCCAGGTAGCGCTCCTCGAACTTGATGTCCTTCACGTACTTTTCGGCCTCGGCCCGCATGGCCTCCAGGAAGTTGCCGTCGGTCATCCGCATGATGTTCGCCTTGTGGGCCACCGTGATCTTCTTGCGGCCGTGCTTCTTCGCGTAGTCGAACACGAACTGGGCAATCCGGGAGGCGCCGGCTGTGGTGCTCACCTTGATGGTCTGCACGATGCCCGGCACCACCCGGTGCTCAATGCCCGAGTAGTCGCCCTCCATCTGGTCCCGGATGATCACCACGTCGAAGGCCCCGTAGGGCGTCTCCAGTCCCTCGATCTGCGAGCACAGGGACACGTAGGCGAACTGGGCGAACTGCTTGCGGATGTGCCGCTGCCACTGGCGACTGTCCACCGGCCCCTTGATGCCCACCTTGTTGGCCCTCAGCGACTCCAGCACCGCGCTCGCCACCTCCATGCTGTCCGGGGCCATGTACTCCTCGTGAATGTCCCACTCGATGGGCGCCTTCGCGGCGCAGAAAACCTCCTGGACGGCCTCCATCAGCTCGGGACCCACGCCCTCGCCGTTGATCATGGTCACTCTGGCGACCTTCTTGGCGGGCGGTGACCCCGCTGTCTTGCCTTTGTCCTGGCCCGCTGCCTTTCCCTTGTCTTGCCCCGCGGGCTGCTCCTTGGGCTTCTCCTTCGCCACTTCCTTGGGCTTCTCCTGCGGCTTCCCCTTGCTCGGATCCGTCGGCTGATCCTTGCCGGAGTACAGCCGAATGACTCCGCCCGCCGATCTCAGTTGACACAAACTTAGTCTCCGCACGGTGTTCATTTTTGAAAGTCTTGGCCCGAAATGTGAGTTATAAGTAAGGGAGATTCGCCTGCTAGGGCGTCCCAAAAACACTTGGCCGCCAATTGATTTGGCAGGATTTCAATTGCCAGCCCATAAATTCCCGCGAAATATTTCTTGGCAGGGCGTCCAACTGGGTCACTGGGAAACTGTAAACTTAATGTTACTCCCGGGCGGACCTTAAATCCAGGTGGAAATCCAGTCGGTTTGAGGTTGGCCTGCGGGTGTGTAAATTTGACAAATGGCTTGTCAACGGCTGTGGGCCGAAAACCAAATGGCGACTGCTGTCGACAGACAAATGTCCGCCCCTCCCCCTCCACCTGCCGCTCTCTCCCCCCCGAGGGGCGTGGCAATTATGAGGCCGACGGCAGTGATTTTTCAACGGGGCGTGGGCCAAAACAGACCATTAAAATCGACGACCATTAAGAGCAGACCGCAGGGAACCTCTGCGACAGGTTGCGATATAAATACAGAGTAATTATTTCGCCCCCGGCTGATTACCATTTAAGAATTACAAATGAGGTTTCTCGCCACTTTAGCCGTCTGGTAATCAGCGAAAACAATGCATTAAGCTTTTACGACACCTTCAATTCGCTTTTACGAGACAGACCGGCGAGTCCTTGAAAGCGTATCTCACGGATATCGAACAGGGAGCATCCAAGGGATTCCCTTGGAAGTGTTTGTCGCTCCGTGCTCTAGCACCATATTTTATCGCGTATGGCCTCTATATTGACAACTTCCTGCACATAAAAACCAACGAAGTGCACTTCGCCAACAAAGTCCGTGCAATGAATGGCCAAAACTTAGGAAAGTTCGTGTAAACACTGGCCAAAAGCGAGCTGCCAAGGAGCACACTTACAATGTGTGGCCCGAACTATTATTAACCCCTGTTCATTGTTCGGCAAATTGAAAGTTAAATCAAGGCGTTGGCAGCAGCAGACAGAGAACAGAGGCCTCGTAAGGTGACTTTTGATTGGCATATTCGATTCAAGGACCTGTCTAGATGTCAGGGTCTCGGCTCCCATTTACTGGAATCCCTTCGGATAGTTTATCTGATATAATTTGCTTCTCTGTTGAGCTCTGTTTTGTTTTCCTGTGCGTGCGTCTGACTATTTCAAACTTTTTGCGACCTTCAATGAGTCCCAGGAGCCTCTCTAAGTGCCTGCACTTAGCAGCGTTTAAGGATGTTGCAAGTAATTCGAGAATAATACATGTCGGTTGGCTGGCAGAGGATGACACTATAAGTGCATCCTTATTTACAAGATGTGAGCTCCCCTGGTGCATACATAATTCCAGCCAGTGCTGGATGCATTTGCATCTGGCGAAGGACGTTCTGCTGGGGGACGAAGGGCGGAAACCCCGGTAAGTGAATTACTTTTCAGCAGATGCAAACTCATTGAAAGCCACATCGAGCCACCCACACATGAAAGCTGATCAGCGGTTCACCGTGAAAGCAGCGGATTACTCTTCCTGCGGAAAGGGAAAGCATTGTGGAGCTCGCCGGATGATAAGGCAATCCGCAGCCAGCTTTTTATCAAGGTTATTAGGGTAAATGCCGGAGCGAGCAGTTATGATCCGCTGATTTTCATTAGCCCGTCTCTGGGCTCATGAATAATGCACGACCAGTTTATCATTTCTGGGGGCTACATGTTGATTTAAGGGCTTGCCCCTGGCCAAAACAACTCTTGCCAAAAAAGTGCCCAGTGAGCCAAAAAAAAGGAGCTCTTCACACCCAGAAAACCCAGAAAAAAAAAGCGGACGGACAGATTCGGTTGTTTATGTAGTCCGAAACGTGCAACCCTTTTGTCAATGCCAGTTGGAAACTTAAGACGGGCAGGCAGAGGAAATCGGAGAAAAATACTGTTGCATATTTGATTGTCTCGTTCAATATTTACATATTCGGACTCGTCAGTTTCGCTCTCCTCGGTTGCCTTTTCAGGGCTTACGCTTCGTTTGCTTTGCCCTCAGCCCTCAGCCCCAAAGCCCTGAGTCCCCGGAATCCCCTCCAGAGTCAAGTTATCCCCAAGAACCCAAGACGGGTTGCCCCCGGTTACCATCGGGGATCCAGCGCCATCCGGCTGAAATCAGAATTTGCATTTCTATTGTTGCCTTTGTTTCATCTGCATCCAATGGCAGTGCGGTTGCCCAGGTAAAAGCGTGTGAATCCCGGCACCTGTTTGCCACTCCTGCAATCGGAGTCCGGCGGACGGGAAAAAAGGCTAAAACCTGGTTTTCCACACGCACCTGATACTCAGGATCAGGCGAATCGATGGCCGAAACCAGCAGTCGATTATTTATTGCCGGCAAAAGAATAATCAAGACCTAGAGCTCCGGTGCTTTTTGCGGGTCACCTGTGAAATAATAATTGGGCATTTGAGTTCCTCACATGTCCCATATGCATTTATTTATAGCGATGGTTTGGTATTTCGGAAAAACAGAGAATAATACTGAATAACGCTTTATTCAAGCAAATACAGCAATTGCGGGGTGCCATAAATAAAAATTAATAAGCGCGATGCGCAAACACCCAAAACAATCAAGAAGTGTATTGCCGCTTTCATAAACAAGCTTAAATAGCGAGGAATATACGTGCAGTTATTAATTAGCAGCTTAATTGTGAAGTGTGTGCCAAGCAACTAAATCAATTACAAAGCGATTAAAAATATTTGTCGAGCCTCGTTTGTGGCAAGCCACATCATTTGCATGCCAATCGCCTGATAATATTGAGTCACTTTGTGGCCGGCCACAGAATGGCACAAGCTCGCAAGACCGAGTTGCAGTTCTCGGGGAATTTGCAACAACGTCTCAATTAAATAAACATTTTTAATCAAGCCGAGAGCTCTGTGCAGACAAATATTTGCGGACGCTGTTGGATTGATTAGCATGTAAGCAAATAAATAAAATTTAGGCACGCACACAGATATTTGACAGCTCCATGGACTGCTTTGAATATTTGCTAAAGCTAAACTACAGCTGTCCGGTCCACTATTAAATTTCCTTGTCTCTGGCTGCAGAGTAATTAAAATTAAAATGCACAAAAGCCGCAGGAGACCGGTGCATTCTCGAATATGTATAGTGCTTCGACAGTATTCCAGTCACAATATTGGGAATATTTTTGCACGCAATGCGGTTTGTTTATGCGTTTGCCGAAGCGTAAAAAGTCGCACAATGTGACAGTTAAATATTGTGGGATATATATTTTTACGGGCCCCATGCACGTTCAGCGCCAGGGCGGCAATAACAGGGAAACAAAAAGTTAATTAAGTCCTTAAAGGACTGCTCTTTTTGCCGCCATCCGTCGTCCTTTCGCGTCCTGTGTGCTTTGCATATCTCAGCGAAAAGGCGACGCGACGTGGAAATGGGCGAGCTCCTCGCATGCCGGAGGTGCCGCAGCTCACATAAATTGATTCCATACAAAACCGAATAATTCATTCCCATTCGTTTGCACCTCGATACCCGGCTGCATTGCCATTGTCCGCCGGAGGAAGAGGCACCCCGGCTGCTCAACCCGGTCTCAACCGGCCGGATTGCAATCCCATCCGCTCTCGCCGGACAATATAATAAATCATCCAGCCCATCGGGGCCGAAAGTGTCCCGACAAATCAACTTTATTGCGGCGATTGTGAGGGAAACCTTAAAGCTGGGGATCAAGCTCACAGGGCGATTTCCCAACTTTAAGTTCGAAAAATAAATAAAATGCTCCTAGGCATAGAAAAAAAAAAGGTAAAAAAAATTTTTAAGTTAAACCGTTTTATGTAAAACATGTACTAAATGTACTAAAAGCCTAAAAATAATATAAAATAGATACAGACGTGGGAATTATAAACATATGCTTAGACTAGACTAAAATAAAACCGTGGGGCAAGTCAATTGTGTACAATCGTTGATTAAAATGTTTGTTTGCCCCACGGTTTTATTTTAGTCTAGTCTAAGCATATGTTTATAATTCCCACGTCTGTATCTATTTTATATTATTTTTAGGCTTTTAGTACATTTAGTACATGTTTTACATAAAACGGTTTAACTTAAAAATTTTTTTTACCTTTTTTTATTTTCTAGTTTTTAGTTTTTATTTCGCATTTTTATTTATATTTTTTTTTTCGAAGTTAACTCCACAGGTAAGTATGTTAATGCAGCAGCGTTGTACCGAACTGTAACGAACTTGATTAGGATAACAACGTTTGGTACAAATATCACAAACATGTATATGTCGGATCAAATGAAACGGGGCCTACTTTATTCTCTTGGTCAGAGTAGGTGAAGCGGGGCCTTCTTTAAGGCAGTGGTCTGCTTTACAGACTTCAAAAAATCGATTTTTTTTTCTTGTCTTAAATCTATTCCAAAACTATCCAAGAATATGTGTTCAAAATTTTAGAGGCCAATTCGACATATTTTCAAAGCTAGATCAGTTTTAGTGGCCGAGCGTCGAGCAGGTTCGTATGCTCGGGCAGACTTTACAGCCCGTTTTCTCGAGTTTTTATTTTCACAAGTCTTGGAAAACGGTGCCGGCCATAGTAAAAAAAATATATGTCCGATCGAAAAAAACCAAAGTGTTCTAGCTTCAGTATTGAATTATCTTCTATTTGAACTAAAAAAAAATGGATAAAAATACTATTTAAATTACTTGTTTTGCAACTTAAAGTGAACTTTTTTTCCAAAAAATTGAATTTTTTTTTCAAACTTAGAAAAAATTTGGAATTTTGTCATTTCTTCGGAATTTTTTTAGTTCATATAGAAAAGGAACTTATAAAAAGTAAAAAAAATTTGGTTCCACTGTTTCAGATGCATCGCACGAACTCCATCACCGGCACCGATTAACAAGTGCACACTCTAGGCGTCCCAGAAAAATCGTTACAACTTCCGCTAATTTCAATTATTTTCAATAATAAAAATTGTTTTTTAAAGTTTAAATATAATATTATATCGTCTCAAAATTTGGTTTACCGCAATCATTTCCTTCCCTTTCAAAAAAATTGTTGAAAAAACGCTCTTTTTTCGGCTCCTA